TTCTTGAGGTATTACAGAATCGGGATTGATCTATCTTAAAAGAGGCAGGCAGATACTATGTAAACCCACATTCAGAAGAACCTACTATTTATTGCATTTTATTACTTTTTAAATAATTGTTTTTCTTTCAAATGGCAAAAAGGTTAAGGAATATTGCTGTGCCCTGCTGTATGAATGCCAGCATCTGCTGTCTCCGCTGGAAGAACTGGAGAAGCAAATCACACATTTTTATGAATCTCTCGAAAAAGTGAATGAAATAATTTCTATTCTGGATCCTGAAGCACAGCCTACAACTGTTCTTAAACAAAAAGCCCAGGTAAGTTTAGAGAACATCTTACAAAGATTTTCTGCCTCTGAGGTCTTATAGGTTTCTAGGAATGTTGACTGCAATTCAGTAATGTGAGCAAATGTTTCTTCATATCCAGATAACAAAACGTAACCAATCTTAAAGTTAGCTAGGCATAAGTAAAAGTTGAAACTTCTTCCCAGTGCCCAGGTTTTCAATCCAAGAAGTAAATATGAGAGCTTTTATTTATTTGTTTATTTTTATCTCCAGTGGAAATTAGGCTGATGTGTTAGAAATACATTAGATTTTTCATTAAGAAAATGAAATAAAGTGATCAGGAAATTCCCTGATCCTTGAACATTTATGGAAACTTCTGAAAAGTCTGGTAGTAGCTCATTTTAAAACAACCATTCAACATAAATGCATTGTAATGGAACTTTAACATTTTACCTAGCCAATAAAAGACTAGTCAGGAGAACTCACTTTGTAAAACAAGTGAAAATATGGGGATTGGGGGTTTTATCATGTGGATCATTGTTTTTCTTTGTGTATGTGCAGTACTCGGCCTAGTAATACTTCCTCAAAATTTATGCATGCCTTTCATTAGAGTTTCATATTGGTTTTGACAGATAATATAATTAAATGGATTGTCAATGGGAGGCTAGAGTTTTTCAAAGCCATTTAAAGAAAGTTGTTAGAAAAAATGATTGGAGCTAATGGATTTAATTAGTATATGGGGGAAGAAAACCAACCTAATATAAATTATTTCAAACCTATAATGACTCTGGAGATTGGCTCAATAATTCAGCAAAAAGGTTCTCATTCTCCTAGAGTGATTTCAAGCTTTGATTCTGTTTGGGGGAAAAAAGTCATCTGGTGAGCTTGACTGTTCAATCAAGCCAGTCCAGTTACCTTCATGATCAAATCCTCTTCTCTTTGGACACGTGATTCAGCTGGTGTTTATAATCTGCAGCTTAAGGATCCGTTCATGAGAATACTCCTTTCCTGTGTTCCTGACAGTTGCCGTGCCCCAGACTACCATAATAAAATGAATGTTTCTTCTGGATGGATTTGCTAACCAAGGCACTGAAATCTCCTCAGTTATTTGGAGGGTGCTGACTTCTGCTGAATAGATAGTAAATAGAGATTTGTTTTGTGGAATGCAGTGTTTCTTCAATAGCAAAGCAGTTTCCTTGTGACTGAATTTTTTAAATCTTTTTCTAGGCTGTGAAAATTTATGCTTTTTTCTCTAAGTATAATTCCTATTATTAAGTTCTCTATTATTTATTGTTTAAATGTCATTATAAATGACATTTAAATTCCAATAGCTCACTTGAAAGGTTAGCTTGTTGAAAAGCAGGAAGGGTTAACATCTTAACGAGGTACTGAGAGCTGTCACTTTTATGTCTCTTTTAATTGCTTCCTGTTTACAATTACAAAGTAAATATAGACATCTCATAAAAATTAAATCGCAGAATTATGTATCCACCTACATTTTCTGAAGCTACCTAAAAGGTTTGGGTACAGGTCTATTTTTGTTTTGTTTTTTTTATACAGATAACTAGAGCTTTATTTGAGTACAGGACCCTGCCTACTAGGAGAAAGTTGTGGTCTGTGTTACTCCCTCTAGTGTTTCATGTAGTCTGTTTTTCATGGCATTTTGACCATGTCCCTTTTGTTCTTAATGTCAAAAAAATACCTTCCTGTTATTTTGCCAAACTTTTCTTTCCTTTGTTCCTGGCCAGGGTGGATATATGTTTCTTTCTTTCAGGATTTGGTAGCTTATCAAGAAAACTGCAAGAAAGCTTTGTCCCTGGTTGAGAGAAATAGTCAGAGTGTTCTGCAGTGTGTGGCTTCGAGTGAAGTATTACAGCATTTCCATCAATTGACATTTCAGAAGAAAGTTACACAGATTCAGATCACTTTTCAGGTAATTATGTCATATCTTGGTACATATTTTTGAAATATTGTTCATACACATCTTATTCATTCTACTGCATCCCTGTTTAATCGCTCTCCTTCCTGGTGTCAACTTGTTCTTGAAAGGCTTGTCTGTAATAGGTAACAAGTGGTCAGGGAAGTTAGGGTCTTCTCCATGTAGTTATCTTGAGGGAAGCGTACTTCTCGGGGAACCTAGTATTTGAGGAGAACTACCACATATCATGGCCCTTTTGAGCGAGGAACCTGAGATGACCCAAACATTAGGACCGCACCACTTTCTCCCCCCCTAACTTTCTTATCTTGGCTAATTATTTACTCCCATCGTCCCATGCCATCACCTTTCGCACAAAGCATGGAAGACGGAAACTTTTGTAAATGCTAATATTGCTGGATTTTGCATTTCTTTGGGAAATGCAATGGAGTGTGAATATAGAAATTTACAAATATGTATCTATATTTGTTAATGTGAAAATACATCCTTTGGGCTAGAATCCCCCTTACCTGTAGAATTCTATTTTATTATTAGAAATATTGATGTTTTGGGTGCTATTAAGCTAAAGTCTAGCATGAAAATAAACACTACTATCTCAGTTCAGACTTTTGATTCAATTACATTAATTTTCAGGCAATTATTGTTCAGTGTAAGGCCATCGACACTGAATTTTAAACTACAGAAAGCCAGCAAACAGGTATCTCTGAAAAACATCAGGAGATTTCAAAATTTTTATTCCACTTTCTGGGTTCTATTGGAAAATATATAGTTTTTAGTTCAGGATTTTTTTTCATTTGTCATTTAGAAATGGTTTATTTAAGTTATATTCATGATTACAGCAGTAGCTTGATCAATTTGCCATTTGGGGCATTAATTAATTCCTTTGCCATAAAGATGGATGGTAATTTATCTCTCTTTATGTTAGAAAGTAAACCTACTTAATGTGGCATAGCCCTACTTAAACTATTTATGGATCTGGAAACTGGGCTTTTCTCCTGAGAAGAGTGCATTTCTATTTAATTATATTTTTATGCAGAAGTTTATCTGGAAACTTTAAAAAAGTTTAGCAAGATATTTAAATTGAGAACCACATATTTGATTAGCTTATTGGATAAAAGCATCGCAATTTCTTAAACTGGAATTAGTAAGCAGTGAGAGTAGTAAAGCATGTTGTTGGTAAGTAGTGTTGGAATTACCTTGCTGCAGGTGAATTGGTGCTTTTTGAGTGGCAGAATTTATATATGCACACATATAAATTGTATATGTATAAACTGTGTAGAGAGAGTGTATGTGTTATGTATAGAGTATATTAAAATGCATAATATATTGGGTGTATATATATAATTTTATATTTTTAAATGTATTTTAATATCTTTATATACTTAATGTCTTTAGGATACCAGGTCCTAAGCCTTAGTAGGGATTTTCACGTGTCATGGATAATTTGTTCATTTATTTATCTAGCTGTGACTACTGGCTAATACATATGCGATTTATCTCCTGGGTAGACAGAAAAAAAATACAGAAAAATGAAGAGATGTGACTCATACTCCAAAAGGAGAGGATTTCAGAGTAGAAAATAGAGCACACTTTTTGTCTTTCTTTTAAGCAGCCTTCTACCTGTTTGCACATCTGGCCTAATAGTGTGATAGTTGTACAAACCTCCTCTAGGTTAGAAGACGTGTAGCATGGAACTGGTCAAATCACCTTTGTTTTCTTTTTTTTTTTTTTTTTTTAAGTAGAGGTTCACGTGAGAGGAGGTAGCCTGCTATAAGGAAAAACCGAGTGATAAGCTTCTAACCATACCAGCTGCTTTACATTTGAAGGCCAGCTTCAGGAAGAAAGCACTAGCCAAGTGGCATAGGCATTTTGAAAATATCACAGACGTCTCTAGCTGGATATCTGTTTTTAGATCAGTGAAGGATGACATTAGCATGAGCCTTTGTATTGAAAATTGTGAAACAGGGAGCATGAAAGGGAGAAGAGAAGCAGTTCTGAACTGCATATGTTTGAAAGAGTGATGCCAATCATCAAACGCATTTTTATGTAATATTATGGCAAGAGACATCAAATAAAAATCACCAAAAAAAGTACCAGCTCATGTTCTTTGCTTATAACTCAGAATATGGTCAGGAAAGCTGGTGACTGGAGAAAAAACATAGAAGCAAATAGCCGTCTGATGAAGAAATTTGAGGAGTCTAGAGCAGAACTGGAGAAAGTAATACAGATTGCCCATTGTTGCTTAAAAGAAAAAGGAAATCCTGAAGAACTTCTCAGGAAACATAGCGTGAGTAAATTCTCTCATCTTCCTCATGGAAACTCTGAGTGCATGACTATTTTATTCAAGTGAAAAGCCTCCTTAATTTTGCAATTGACTTGGATTTACCTTATATATAGAAATTTTATTGATCAGATCAAACTAATGTTAACGTTGAAAAAAGGAGGGGGGAAAAGCCTCCAAAACCCAAACCACCTTTTTTATTGAGGAATGTAAGCAACCAGGAAGTGCAGAGAAACCCTCTAGAGATTAGGGTCGATTTTCCCAGTCGAAAAACCTTTGGAGCAAGGACAACAGTCTACGTTCTGGCAGGCTCACTCATCCGTGGTTGTGTTTTCAGATGAATGAATATTCATGTCTGTATTGTAACTGTTACTTAAGCATATGGTTTTGAAACTTATTGCTTTAAAATGCCGTCTCAGGTATTGACTGAGTGTCCAAGAATACATTAATTTTCTCGACTGAAAATAGATAGAAGTAGTTCTTTAACTCAATTTCAGCTCCCTCCAGTGCAGTAGAAGTAACCTTGAAACTTAAAGTGTTAGGGAACTTCATGCTAGCAAGTTACCGTATCAGCAGTAACCAACTTGGCCTTCTTGCTCTCTGCTTCAACCTCAGGAATTCTTTAACCAGTTGGACCAGAGAGTCCTAAATGCCTTCCTGAAAGCTTGCGATGAACTCACTGACATCCTTCCTGAACAAGAACAGCACAGTCTGCAGGAAGCTGTGAGGAAACTCCATAGGCAGTGGAAGGTTAGTGACATCAAATGATGTTTCTGGAAGTCCCAAGTCTTAAATCAGGAAGTTTTTTGCATGACCTATATGTGGACTATACAAAAAAAAAAACAACAAAAACATGACTTATCCCTCTTCTTATTTTACTTCTTGTACAAGTGGAAAAAATACATATTTTACAACATTACATATGTCGACAAGTACAAATAACCTTTTGAAAACACTCTAAGTAAAGCAGTCAAAGGTCAGGAAAAATGGAGGGGAAAAAAAAAAAAAAGATGATATTCCCCCTTGCCATGTACAAGTATTATGATACCTGCACTAAACATATTTTTGAGCATAGGTACTAGCTTTTCTTACTTGATGCTGATGTTGGGTGCTTGCTGTTACCCGACAAAGTTGTAGGAGATTAGGCTTTCAGTTTAAGTAGTGTCTTTTGCTGGGGACTCTTAACAACTGAACAAAGATTGCTCATAAGCTATGGAATATTTTGCCTCCTACAGCATGCTGCAGGTCAAAGCTAGAGTAAAGGATGAGTGGCTTCTCATTGACACACAAACAGGAACCTCTGGAAGCAAGCGTGAATGTAGCTATTACAATTTATTATTTTTACAGAGGAATTATTCGGTATACTGCCAAGAATCAAGATGTCATTGTACTTACTGTGCCATATGTACACATATTCTAGGCCCTAAGAATTTATGACTTAAGTCTAACAGATATAAGATACTGCCTTATATATAAGAAAAGCTTCTACGATAAAGCATTACTTTATTTCCTTAACTGAATACTGGGAAAACCCTGTCTATTCATGCATATACAGGGTTTGCTTTCTGTATTAGCAGTTATTATATAACTTATTTGTAGTAACTTCACACTGAGGTAATGGGTATAGTGTTTTATCTCTGTGCTTGTTTATTTCCTCTATGGGAATATAGGATCTTCAGACAGAAGCCCCGTATCATTTGATCCATTTGAAGATTGAAGTGCAGAAAAGCAAACTGCTGGTCACAGTGGAGGAATGTAAAGCTGAGCTAGCTCGACAGAACAAGGTGTTATCCAGTGAAGGCAACGAAAAGATGATCAAAGAGCACATGGTATGAATTATATGCCCCCAAGTGGTCATTTACAGAAATATATTTGAATGTAAACTCAATGATAGAGAAACGGAAGGTGTGACTGACTTTCAACCCTCCAAACGCTATGTGTGCAACTAAATGAGATCAGTCCTTGGGCCTTTAAGAAAGATATTGATTTGAAATTAAACTTTTCGTGCTGATACGCATGACCTGGGAGCTTAGTACAGTTTATACCCTATACATACATATATATACACATATATGTACGTACACACACACATATATACACAAACACTTAGTGATTTCTGCCTGTTTAAATTATTGTTGCTTTTTTTTTTTTGCTTTGTCTTCCATCAGTTGTTCTTCGGTGACAAGGGATCCTACCAGCTGTGTGAGAAAAGGCTACAACGGATTGAAGAACTGTGTCAAAAACTGCCAGTTTCTGATCCAGTGAGGGCTACATTGGAAAGCAGCCGAAGAATTCTGAAGGAACTTAAATCCCAGATTGACAGCACATATGTGAAGCTAACAGAGCGCTCTGAGAAGTGGAAGGGCTATAAGAACAGGTGTCAGTTCACTTGCTAGCTGGGTCTGGTAGATGGTTGCCTATAGCAAATCATACATGTCCATTCCTCTGAATTTCATTACAGTTCAAAACCCCATAAAGAATGATAAATACTCTGTTGATAACTTCTAGTAGAAAGCTATACTTTATGTAGTAATTCCACAAATCTCAGTGGGTTTTGGGGGGTTTATAATTATTAGCTTAAATTTAAAAGGTTACAGTTTGGTGGAAATTTTTTCTAACTTTTTTCCTTGCTTTGCATCGTATGATATTTTATTTCAGATTTTCTGAATTGGCAAATTGGATTTCATCAACAGAAAGAGAGATAAAGAAGATAAAGCAAACTGTCAATGATACGGCCAGATACAAGCAATTTGAAGCAGCTGTGGGGGTAAGCACTTGGCTTATATTTTTAATAAAATTACAGTCATTGCTGCTTGTGCCCTGGATATAATTGCATTATGAAGTAGGGCAACTGTTTTACACTATAGATAAAGCTCTACTGATTCCTTATGTTCTTGTATACATTTCCAAAAGAAAGTTGTGCACATAGCAGCGTGTGGCAGAATCTCCTGCTTTTAATGATTTAGAGAATGACAGATCTCTTTAGCTGTGTGTTCAGAACACCCATAATACAGAAGTAGAAGGTTAAAGTCTTGTCTCTAATCCTGCTGCATGCACAGTTAAAGAGTTGTGCAAGGAAAAGCCATAAATTCAGAATGAGTATTTTTGGAGGGTCAAGTTACTGCCTTACATGTAAGAAAAGCTTCTGCAATAAAACTTATCTTCTATAATAGGGGAGGCCAAGACATTCCACAATTCAGTTTTGCGTTGGTGACTGACAGGGATGATAGAATAGTTGAAGATTCAGTCTTTTGGTTAAATAAATTATTGAATAAAACTAATTGTCGCTTGGGGCCTACCTTGACCCTTATGCCTATTTTTACTTCTAGTGCATGACATTTTTAAAAAAAAAAAAAAAAAAAAAGTCACATACTGTACAAGTTTGTGTGAAAGTCATTAGCAGGGTGTGACTGCTAACTGTGCAGAGAAACATAACTGGGGTGACCTTGATAAAACAGGTAGGCCTCTAGCTTAATGGGTGCTTCTGCTTCAGGAAGTCTGATTTACTCGTATAGTTTCCCTGCTGGCAGCTGCTCACCCACACTGGCCCAAAGGTATAACAGAGCTGTTAGCTCTTTTTTTTCCCGTTTTCACCTATTTAAAAACAAAATAATACACAGAACCTTATACCATATGAAATTTTTTGTTCAGGAAAGTTAGCATTTGAGATGTAAATGAATTAAGAATTTGATCAATATATGGAAAATATATAGAGGGTATATACTCTACATCTTTATATTTATTGGTGAAAATGCTGGTTGGTCAGAAAAAAAAATTCTACCAATTGTCTGAGGACAGACCTGTAAAGTCTGTAGAGTTGAACGCAAAAAACCTAGTCCTTAATTGGAATGGAATCAGATGAGGCTGCAGAAAGAAAAATATTATATTTCTAGTATTTCAAGATAATACCGAAAGCAAAATGTTTATACTATTAACCTGGGAACTGATGCTGTGAATGCTACTCATTGCTTATATTATATTTATTTTAAGAAAATACTTTTTTGATCCTTCTATAGGAAATTAGGCAACATATTAGCAAGCAAGGAGAAAATCTCAGCTGGCTGAAATCTGGACTTGCTGTTCTGACTGCAGTATGTCCTGATCTGGAGGCCAAAAACACAGAAGATGAGCTTTGTAAGCTTTCCAGTGACTTCAAGGGACTCCTAGATTCATTGGCTGAGGTACTGTATAAGAGACAAGAACTCTCCATTTACAGTGCCATATGAAATGACATCAATCATGGTTTCACAAGCATGAGTTCCCTGCTGTGTGTTTTTAATTAAACTGCAAACATTCAACAACAAAAGATCCATTTGTACTCCATGGGTACCAAAGCCTTAAGACTGCCAGACAAAAATACTGGCAGTAGGATAATGGATCTTTGCAGAGCTGGAAAGCATAAATGTTTCTGAAATCAAAGTGTCTGTATTTTTAGAAGCAAAGGGTAACATTAGTTTTCTAAAATCATTTATTAGTGAATATTGGCAAAATTGTGGTAGATATCGGTTAGTGGATATAGAACTTGATTTTACTTTTGCAGCTAAAGCTGTAATTTGGTTTATGTATGTTTTAAGCTGAAATAATAAAGGAGCTACTGTAAAGTAGTTTCAAATCATTAGGATTCAGCTATTGCAATCTCCAGTATAATAGACACAATGGCTCTCCAAATTGAGGCTATCTGGCATGTACTAGATTTTCAGGAAAAGGCTGTCATTGTCTGAGGTTGGAATGGTAACCAGATGCTGGAACTGCTGGAATCGTGGGAAGTTTCTAGCTGATAAGAAGCAGAACCTCTCAGAGTCTACTGAACCTTCAAGATCTGTGGAATCTCAGGGAATTTACTGCTCCACAGTTTTCACAGTGGAAAAGAAAGATCAAGAGAAGCATAGAACATCTTACACTTAAAAGCTTGAATAGCACCATTTGAAAAATAATTCAGGATACAGACTTCAAATTCCATTGTTAATGTAGATTCTTTTGGAGACCTTTAGTTGTCATTGTAGTTGTTCCAAATGTAAAAAAGTTCCATGTAAATTTATCAAGATTTTCTAAACTTCCATGGTGTGGAAACTACATTTGGAAAGTTGTGGGAACTGATGTTCTGATTTCCAAGGGACTGCAAAAACTTAATGCTTTATTTCTTGTATTAAAGTACTTGCTTTCTCTCTCTCCTAAAAGCAGAAGTAAGGAGAGCACAAGTGTCCAAAGATACAAAAAGAAAATAAGAAATAGAATCTGAACTTGTTCCAAATCTAAAAGTGTAATCTAAATGCCACTTTATACTATAGTGAAGGTACTGCTGATTCTTAAAAGTCTGAATAAGGTTTACAGTTAAATTAACAGCTTTTTAGTCGTATAGGTGAGACTATTTAGAGCAGGACTCACTGTGTATTTACAGATTTCCGCAATTCTTTTTGGAGAGGAAAGGTTAGATGTTTGCATGTGACTCTCCAAAGTGAATCTAGACTATAAATAAATAAATAAATAGGTCCTTACTTCTTGACTACTTTGTGATGCAAACTCTAAAATACAGGGAATGTCTGAGGAACAGATCCCTTATCTGAGAACCAGCTATGAGTAGTTCGTGGAATCATACAAAGAGAGAGGAACTTTCTGATGTGAGGAATAAGTATACCTTTTCCTTTATAAAACTTGAAACTGTGATTGTGTATGCCATAAGACCATAGTAATAGGGCATTTTAATATATTCCTCATTCACCAGGGCATTGCTCTAGAAGGTCCAAAAGGCAGCAAGATTTTTTGTGAGTTTAGTGCAGGTGTTTTGTAAGATGGGTCAACTTGCAAGGGTAAGACTGCATCTCTTTTCCAAATGGTCACCAGTAAGTGGCTGTCATAGACAGCCCTTTACCATATGGCAATGTAGTGAGGAATGTGTCTAAACCAGAAGGTCTCCGCAGTCACATTTTTAAATCTGTAGTCATTCTTAGCATACACCTAACAATGTTGGAAGAATGTAGGATATATAAATGGTTTGTATTTAGATGATTTACTGTATTGTTACAAAAATATTCGGTATATAGATGTGCCTTTCAAATGTACATGTGCCCTTCAAAATGAAATATTTACAGTTATCCATAATTGTAGATTGAAAAGATGTTAGGCACTGTTGGAAACTGTGTCCAGTACAAAGAAGAAGTTAAGAGTGCTATTGAAGAGTTAATCACCAACTCTAAAGAAGCCCAAGCAGAGGCTGAGATGATCTTGGATACAGAAAGCTTATTACAAGCTCAGCAACTACTACTTCATCATCAGGTAGGGCGATTACTCGTGTCCACATTTGATTTTTCTTTCTTTTTTTTTTAATAATGTAGAATGTATGTAATTACTAAATTTTGTTTTGGGTGTTATTTCCAGTAGCACAGCTCTGTGTATTTAAGCTTGCAAGAGTCATAATGGAAATCGTCTTACATGACCTGGTATTGACTTCTTATAAAGAAAAAAGTATCCAATCATTTTTAAATATTAATACTCAAAGATAAGCTTTCTTCAATTTTAATTGCATATCTGTTTACTTCAGACAGGGGTTTTGGGTTGCAGAATGCATGAAAATCAGGCCCTATTTACTTGAAATTTTGTGTAAATGTATTGTACAAGTCTGAAGTCTCTCTCTTTATGCCTTTTTTAAAGATTGATGTCAGATGTGATCCTAATAAATTGGGCCAGGGCCCAGTCCCAGTTTTGGAAACTTCTCCACACTAGCAGTTTTGATGTGGCCCCAACTCTAAATGCTGAATGGGAGGCATACCTCCAGCCTCACCTGTTCCTCTAGGTAGCTACTGCAGTGACAGATGGTCCTCAAGTATATGGGAGTAGAGCAAGAAGTGTTTATTTACTGTGGTAATGTTTGGTCACTGCCCTAGCAGTAGTTCCTAGGTTACTCTAAGGAAAAGAAGGCAATCCAGAGATAAATTTGAGGCAACATTTTAATTTATTCTGTTTCTATTTTTAACCATTGTTACATCTGTGTACATAATCAAAACCATGGCTGTTTGCAGCGTTCCGACTGACGGCGAAAACTATGATAGCTTTGCAAGCGATGCCCAGTTATGCAAGGATAATAGGTCAAAACTTCTACAGATTACAATAATAATAAATCATATGGGTTGCATACTGTAAGAGTCTTGGGTTCTAAGCCCAAATATATGAGATTAACTTTGAGGCCTGCTGAGTAAGAATTATTTACTGTCAATGTTTGGGCATTATGTAAGTGTTCTGTATTAATCTGTATTTATATGAGGTAAAACATGTCTTGTCCAACTGACAGTGCTACGTCTTCTGTTTTATCTAAAGTGTTCTGTGTCTGTAAAAATTGTTGTGTATGTTTCAGTTCTTATATGGCCTTTTAATACTCTGCAGTCCTTATCCATCATAGGATAGGTAGCATTAATAGTTAATTTATCTCCGAGTTCAGACTCTTCTGCTGTTTTGGTATAGTTTGGTATGGTGAAAACAAACTTTGTTAAAGATCTCAAGGTTAACCAGGGTAGAACTGGCCTGGCAGCTGTCAGCTTACCTAGCAAGACTGGCAATGGGTCAGGTGTGTTAGGAAAGGACAGGGGATATAGTCGCATGAGCTCTGATAGTACTGCAAACCAAAAAGTATTGAGGAAAGGGTTATATAATTTGGACATCCCCTTAGTGCTCTCTAATCCATGCTTAGAACAATATGAAGCTGCAGCCTGTGCCTCACAGTGCCGAGCAGACCCTGATGCTTCCAGGGTGATCATGAGGAGCTCATACACTTGAGACTACTTTTGCAATTGCTCAGTAGTTGCAATTTCTGCTTTCTGAAATACTGCTTTGGATGAATGGCTGTATCTTCGCTCTTTCCATGCCATTTGTGTGCTATGGCCATTGTGGGTACATACACCCTTTGGATTCCATGGCATCTATTCTATGAGTTTATGATATTCCCCAGAATACTTCCTGCAGTTTATCCATTTGTTTGTTAGTGTCTTTACATATTCCTTCAAATGCAGAAAGCAGAACTTGTGTGCCAGTTTCCCAAATGAGCTAAAAAGAAACATGTAACTGTGTATCATTCCTGTTTGAATGAATTCCTCTAGCAAAGGACAAAGAGAATCCGGGCAAAGAGGGAAGATGTGCAACAGCAGATTTCCCAGGCTAAACAGTTGCAGATTGAAGGTGGACTGCCCAGCACAATGCAGGAAGATTTACAGAAGTTGGAAGGAACATTGGAGAACATGCAGCAGACAATGGAGAAACGAGAAGAACAATTACAGGTGGGTCATTTGTATAGAGAAATAAAAACCTGTGCTTTATCCTTTTCTTTTTTTTCTTTTTTAGTAAAGAAAAAAGTTTATATTAAAAAAAATCTGAATCATATTAGTTAGATTTTTCATCATCAGTACCTCCATCACAGCTTCTTGAAGCTGCTAGATACCTTATTAATTAATAAAGAACCAGCGTTCTATTTGGAATTGTTTACAATTCTCACGTTTTCAGTCATAGCAGATATTTTAACTATGAATTTGCATACAAGGCATCTGTTAATTAAATTTTAGATGGACAACATGTCACCACTGGTCTTTACAGGTGACACTGTCCTTTAGTGAGAGCTTTTAGGCTGGATATTAGGGTAATGACACTTAAAGCTGTGAAAATTTAGTCTTCACAACTACTGTGTGGAGTACTTACTATCATCCTAAAGTAAGAGGAGGAAGAAACAAGACACAGAGAAATTATATGGCTTGCCCCAGGTTATATAACAAATCACTGTCTGAACTAGGATTATAATTTATAGCTTCTTGCACCTAAACCTGAAGTGCCCTTTACCTTTCTCTAAGCAGAATGGTAATCCAGTTATTGGGCATGTCCACCACTTTGCTTGAAAGTTTAAAGTCATCAAAATTATTTCCCATGTAAAAGTACATGAAAACCAAATGATCAGTGGAGCTCAAAGAACTTTTAAATGTAAGAGTTTCTTGGTAGAACTATTTTTTTTCTGAAGTGGAATCCCTATGTGAAGTTTTAGCTTGGGCCTTGCTTTACTTCAGAGTCAAGAAAATATTTTGTTATGGTGACCAAATTCTGATGACTAAGTAATTAAATGCTATATATTAATCAAAATTTTATAGTATCTAAAAAGAACAAATAAATTCTTACGTGTATCATTTTTTTCCTACTATTTTACTGTAATTTATTTAATTAAAAAACTTGAAAACCTTTTAAGGAATTCTTGAATACCTGTAGCCGTAAGCATAACCATCTGCAGTCATTACTTCAGAATTTTTATAGGCTGTACCAACATAAGATTTAAATATTACCTGCACCTGAGAGAACAGTCCTTTTCTACACAAGACAATGTCAATCAAAGTGAAAACTCAAAGAAAATATCTCTTTCACTGGGCTCATATAACAATTTTATCTGTAGGGTAGGCTGAATTTCAAGAGAAATTTCTGTATTTTATAAGTTAGGTCCTTCCTTTTTTCCCTTTTTAGTAACTTAAAATGAAATTCTTCCACTCGCTTTGTTCTTGCTGTCTTTTCCTTTTGTTTTCTGTAGGTCACAATAAATAAATGGGAGCAGTTTGAAAGGGACAAAGAAACAGTAGTAAAATATCTTAATCAAGCAAGCTCTGCACTTGAACGTATCTTAAACTTTAGCAGTTTAGAGAGCCTCTCCACAGAACTGGATCAAACAAAGGTATTCGCTGTGTGAAATACAGGAGCTCTGTTATCATTCTGCCTTGCATGTTAACATGTAGTAAGCATGTTGCCTTCAGTCTTTGCATGGCTTTCCTGTTAAGGCCATTGCGAATTGTGTAAGTCTCCATCAGAGTGGAGACTACGTAGACTGCATATTTAGAGGTAAAAAGTTATTTTACGAAAAGATCATGAAGAATTACCCAAATCTGCCTCTGAAGCACTTGTATAGAGGGTGAAATGATTCTGAGGACTTCCTGTTTTATGATCAATGAGATCACATCTGTACTGATAAACTAGACAGTCTCAAGCACTATGGTGTCATCATCCCATGTGCTCTTTATCATGATCTGTTCGAACTAGTGCTCTTCTAGCCTGTAGGAGCAGGAGGAGGATAGACTTCTGCTGTATGAACACTAACCATAACATACCACTTGCTCTTAATACCAGAGAATGGTCCCAGTCCATCTTGTTTACTAATACTGAAGTAGTGAAAGTGGTTGGTTTTCCTCAATAAGTGTAATGCTTTTCATGCTGTTTTTAACCCTTGATGAATCTGGTACCAGACTGTACCTATCTTGGTTATTCTCAGCATCTATTGGTGTGGTGCATATGTATCTCATGTGTGATATAACATAGTTGCTAAATAAAGTGAGATTATAAGCTACATGATACTACAAAATCTTCCATGTAAAGGGCTTTATCTAAAGATTAACTATAGATGGTTACCAAAAGCATATAATTCCCCTCATTTCACTAATAATTTATTGAAGAGCTGTAGAACAAAGGTGGAGTTAAAATATTTTAGACATATAATTATAGTTTCAATTTTATTTGAGGTGTTTTGCTCAAATGAGTATTTCTTAACAGGGACATGGAAATAGATTTCTTTTGAGGTTACTTCTATATGTTTAGACATTCAAAATGTACATTTAGTAAACACATTACCCTGTGCAATACTTTCTCCCACCAGAAACATTGGGAAAAAATATTTGTATGTGACTAAATGAGATCTGTTTCTCTGTTATATAAAAATATATTAACTTATACTAATGTCATGCATCCTTACAGGAGCTGTCTAAACAGACTGAAGCCATGGCGGTGCAGGCTGAGAATCTGGTGAAGAATTCTTCTGAGATACAGCTTGGTTCAAAGAACAAGCAATCCCTGCAGCGACAGGCAAAAACAATCCAAGAACAAGTGAAAAAAGTAGAAGTTACTCTTGAAGAAGAGTATGTTCCTAACAAGTTGTAATATTTCTTACCTGCTATAGGAATATATTAGATCTCTAGACCCCCGTCAACATTTTGTGTTGTCTCATCGGCTCCATCATTTTCAGTTTGCTGTGGCTTAGTAACCCAGGTTATAATACAGAATATGTCAGAAGAGTAATATGTGCAAATGAACAAAATCTGATGTTTGCTGATACATAGTTTAGAAAACAACTGTAGTCACATCTAACCTATCACAGTTCTTTTTAAGGCCCAGCTGAAATCTTGTGAAGAAGGGATGATAATTAGGATTATTCTTGAGGTACTAGTCTTTCAGAAAGAAAAAATGTCAGTGCAAATGTGAAAACAGAGCATTTACTATGTTTGCCTGAGTTTTCAGTTTTCCACTTTCTCCATAGGAATGTCAAGAAGTGCCTTTACCTTAGCTGAATGCCCAGATTTTATTTCATGGACGTTATCAAAAACTGCTTCTGCTACTGCAAATACGAAAAGGCATTATTTGCCAAACTTCATTTAAAAATGGAAAGTCGTCCAAACTCCAAGAAAATACTGTTAAATCCTGTAAATATTTGTAACTTTTTTGTATTTGTAAAAACTTCATCCCTTTTCACAATTGAGAACTTAAGCTGTCGTCATCCCTTTTCACAATTGAGAACTTAAGCTGTCGTCATTATCATTTTTTAATGTGTGTGTGTGTGTGTGTGTGTGTATACATACATATATACATGCACACATAGCTATGTATGCGTATCTGAGCTTAATATTTTTGAATATATTAGATTTGACTCACAAGTCAGAGAGATATGTGTCAACTGGATATGTTGCACACTGGAGTTACTATATAGATGAATTTACCCTTACCAGATTTAGCGGATACCACCTCTATCTGAATGCTAGTCAAAGGCAACGCCAACTTTTTTGTTTGTTTCTCTATCCACCGTTGTCAGGCTACCCTGACTTTAATCTGGTGCCTTTTTCTCCATGACATAAAGAATAGTTGTGAGATGGAGAGTAATGAGCTTCTGCAGCAGCTTCAACTTATTCATGGTTAATGGTCTAATTTTTTTCATATATTGCTTTTAAAAAGTATTACAATGATTCCTGATCAAATATTCTGCCATATCTTACTTGCAATTTTCTGTTATCCATTATTTTTTCCCTGATATTACTGAGCAAGCTAATACAATTTTTTTGATTCAAGAAATTCATCCTTCCATCAATGAATATTCACTTTTTCATTATGTGGCATCTATTTTTAAATGAAAGCCGTTGTTCATATCCCCTTTCAGCCTAGATTTGGAATTGGTTCTGGTTCAATGTGTGAACTATGTAGAGTATCTGTGGTACTGCAATGCCAGAGATGAAAATAAATAAATAAATAAATCCCTTCTGCAAAACATGCTATCTCTATAGTGACTCTGCAGAGCATGTAATCAGTGTGTAAGAGTTATGTTGTAACTCACGTCATCAGCAAAACTCTTGTCCCAGTAATTTAAAGTGAAATTCTCCCAAGTACATATAATACATACTGTGCCAATGAACAGGAAAGGGAGGGAAAAAAAGCAGCTCTCTGCAGTCAGCTGCACAGCAAGCTACCCTTCACAATCTGCAGCTTTGTTACAACTAGAAGGAAGTCAGATACAAAGGCAGAGGATTTCAAGCTGTTCTGCCTCTAATTTGGTCCCTTCTGATTTCCAGCTATATCTTTTCCTTGGCTAGATTTGAGTAAAATCCTTTTTACACTTTGTTTTCCTGCAAATAATATGATTCATATATAAATTTGTATATACGGATATTAGTGAATACCTGTTGACATTGCTAATTTTTATTTTTGAAAATGAATAGGAGAAAACATAAAAGGTTAATTTTAACATTTTAGATGGCATCTTTTTCTTTAAGGCTTCCTCTAGCTTTACTGGAAAAAACAAAAAAATCACCAAAATCGAAAACAAAAAATTTTTAACATGGAATGATTTTTAAGGCTATATTTAAAAGCAGAATATATTTTGGAATTTTTTAATATTCAAAATTTTCAGATGAAATTTTATTACTAGTGAACCAGAAAATAGATGTTTTGCAAGCTCTGTGCAAGAAAGACCCACATTACCGCTGGCTTCTTTACGTTACTTTGAAAGGAGTAGAAACCTGTATACCAGAGGTTCACTCTGCTAAGCCTTATATAAACGTTATGAGGGCCTTAGAGTTGTTGTTTGTGACAAAGAAAAAGGGTGCTTTGTTTGCTGTCCAGGATGTACAAGAATCAGTCACAGTCTCTCTCTGTTTAGCATAGCTAAAATGTATGTTTCAAAGAATATAAATACATTGAGTTAGTTGGGTCATAGCTGTTGTTGATTCTTTGGCTTGATATGAAATCATTGCCTCAGAAAACACAGACTTTCTGTAAGATTAGCAGATTGCTATTGTTATAAAAAACAAGTTTAATAAAGTAGTCAAGCTTTGCTGATTATATGTATATCTACAATACACTGATTTTAAGCATTCTGTTCTGTTGACTAAATATCTATCATCTATGTACTCAGGTATCTCTTTTTTAGGTATCTGATATAATCATATTCCATATTATTTCATATCAATGGTACTTTTGTTACTTTTTCTTTTCTATTCCTACTACCATGAGATTCTTGGTACACAGCTGATAAATGATACTGTACTCTCTCTCACCTCTGGGTGTCCCCACTAAGGTTGATATAGTTGTACACAGTCTGAAAGAGAAGTGAGTTCAACTTTGGGTGCACATTTTGGTCCTCGAAAACCATATGATATTTTAAAATGACCCTCCTATAGAGTGAATAAGTTGTATTTTTTTATTTTAGCAAGAATATAGGCAACTTCATTATATAAAACTGTTTATTCTCTCTAATTAATTTGGTTAATTTTAGTATTAAAAGCATGGAAATGGTGAAAAACAAGTGGGATCATTTTGACAATAATTTTGAAGCTCTGTCCATCTGGATAGCTGAAAAAGAAAAAGAACTGGAAACTTTGGAAACATCATCATCTCCTTTGGACATACAGATCAGCCAGATCAAGGTGATTGGTTCTTGTTATGTTTAGCGTTGAAACCCCATTTCTCTGTCTTTATGCTAGAGGCTGAAAGGGAGAACAGACATTTGATTCATGTGTCCAAACTACCCTGGTGTAAGTTTGTGCACAAAGATGCCAAGCAGTAGGGTTCTACATAAGCTAAAGGAAAATCCTTATAGGCGGCCTTCTCTGTTGGTGTTTAGTTTACACATGTGAAGATTTTGTGTGTATGATTAAAACTTATTTAAGCTATATTCTCTTCTTTTTTTGAGTCATCTCCACTGGTGTACAAAATAGCTACATAAATACAAAGTGTAGGCAGTCTTTGTATTATGAAATGTACATCAGCGAGTGGACATAGAGCGTGACATTAATTTTGCCAGCTAAAGCTATAACTTGGTTTATGTATCTTTTATGCTGAAATAATAAAGGAACTGTTGTTCTTGGTAGCTTCCGAACCTACATACCATTTATTGCTGTTGTATTTACACATAACTTCTGTGTACATATTCTTTTAGTTCCTTATTTGTATCTGAGATGCACATTGTCTCCAAACATTGCCATTTCAAGGGCTGACTTTACATACTCCCACAATTGAAAATTGTCCTTCTCTGAAACTGCATGTTTTCAAGGGGGCAGAGTTTTTCAGTATGCAGTGTTCATTGCAATTTCCTTAATCTGTGACCAGCCTGTTCTTCAGAAAGTGCAAAGCTTTGCAGTTACTTGCAGTCATGGATCAGACTGCCGCTAAATATTTCCAAAGGATCCCATAATGCATTTGTTTCATGTGACTGAAACAGCTTATTAGCAGACTTTCCTGGTCTTAATTTGGTGACAACTTTATGTATGCCAATTAAAAAAAACTCCTCATTTCTTCAGTGAAGAACAAAACAATGCTTGAATTATAGCTTCATCACTGCAGTAATTCATAAACAGTTCCCTTTCAAAACAATATGTATACATCTATTCCACTAGCATACATTGTCGTGTGTCCTTACTTGTTAATTACTAAATGAGACTCCAATATTTAAGACAGCTGAGAAAATAAATGGATCAAGTGATATTAATAATGCATTACAGGGTAAAGATAATTTCAGTCTGTCTAATTGGAGCCAAATTAAGTCCAATTAGTCCATTCAAGCCAGTGCCCTGGAAATATCATTCCTTTCTATGTGTGCAGATTAATAGTAGCTATTGCATTACGTTGTAAGTTTCTGAAAATTCCAACATGATTCTTCATAGTTTAAGTGTCACGACAGAAGGAAAATGGTCAGCAAGTAATGTCCCAGTGAACAAAGCAGAGAAAACCCTGCAGACAAAGGTTAGGGAACATAGTTGTAACTCGGGTGAACAAACCATCTTGATGAGCTGTGATATGTGGAACAAGTCATTTAGCCTCTGATACCTGGACATAGCTAAAGGTTCACTTCAGTGATACCATCATATGCCTAATTGTGAAGGTTTTGTTATGTTTTGTTGTACATTTCCTAATGCGTTTGTGTCATAATGCCAATCAGCATACTTAATTCATAATTTCAAGTACGTCATGCTAATACCACAATATGAAGCAAATGAAGACAAATAGTATGTTCAGCATCTTTGGCTGACCAAATAAAAAAGAATTGAGTCAGCTGAACATGCCTTTCGTACATTCTAGCAGTAATATTCTGGTTTTGTTGACATTTGCAAAACCCCTATGGCTTCAGCAAAGCCAAGATTTCACCTACACATTTTTCAGAAATTCCTGATGGACACAATGGCAGTTACCACAAGTAGTTACCACTGGTGGCAGCCTCACTAAATGTTTGAAGGCCTCAGTTATCCACCTTCTCTTATGTAACTGAGGGAATTTAACAGAATAGCGTGGGAGTAAACAAGCGCTGCCTAATTTCTGTCTGCTGCCTTATTTGATAATTTCAGCTTCAGGGTTGCAAATCTAGTACTTTTCCTCAGCACTGTATTCTCATGCAAAAAAAGGTATTTCATGATCTGAATTCAGGATATATTGCATAAAGAGCGCTTATGGGTGCTCTTTTTGTACTGTCACTCTCTAATTCTAGACTCTGGATGTTACAGTAAACCACTCCTGAGCTATGCAATAGCAAGTAAGATACTGTTGTATTTTTATCACATTTATGACAGGAGGTGAGCAATTTTGATGCGTCTGCGAGTGCCTTTTGAGGGAAGTTTTCAGCTGATGTCGTATACACATATATCTTAACAGCATCATCTCTGAGAAGAGCTCTGAGAAGAGCTCTTGCCTCTTTCATTCCCTTTCCAGTGAATATTTTTGACTGCTCTCAAGAAGAGCTCTGTGGACATGCTACATCAACAGAAATGAAAATAATTCTTCAGTGAAGAAAAGGGATATCTCCAAGTTCACAAGTGTTTACTGAATAAATAGTTATAGATGCCGTAAGTTTATGTCCTGCAGGTAGCTTTCAGGCTCACCTGTCATTTGCAATAAAAGTAAGCATAGATAAATAGGAGACAGCTGCTGTTGTGCAGTTGGTGAAATCTAAACCCAGTGCTAGTTTGCCTTTACACATTCACTTATTGACATAGAAGACAGCTGAAAAGTACCAAAGACCATTATCACTACTGTTTCATGGTGAATTCCTACTTCTGCTCTAATGTGGGTCCTTATTTAATCCTCTGTCTGAGGGCAGACTCATCCTATGTCAGCATCTAATTAAATTTATACTTTATGATACCATAGGATTTTAACTTAGAGATGGAAAATAGCATCTAATGTTTTTCAATTCATGGCATGTTTTAATTGTAAGCTCTTGAGAACTTACTAAACATATAATCAAGTGTTATGGTCCAACCCCTTAACAACATTGTTTTTAATTATATTCTTACTCTTTTTTATCTTGATGATTAAGTTATATTTATTTCAACACTTGAAGAGCATTGTTCATTAATTTACTGTGAAGTAGGAGATGCTAAAATATCAACCTTTTTTTCTGCTTATGAAAATGTGCATCTCAGTCTATTCTAACTCATTTTCTTAGATGCTGTTTTTAGGGCAAGCTGTTTTTCAAAACTGTTACAGTGCTAATTTCAAGAAGAGAAAGGGAGCTTACAGGCAGGACTTTCACAACCAGTTATTTCAAATGGTCACTCAACTCTCCTCTTGTTCGCTCTTTTAATGAAAAAAATCAATAGCACGAGTAAGCAATGGAAGGCTATAAAGATAGTTAAATTATTTATTAAATATAAAGATAATGAAAAGCATACTGTGCTTTGTTATTTACTATTACTTTACATTTTAGGTTATTAATAAAGAAATAGATGGTAAAATAAGTGGAATCCCCAGACTAGAAGCGGAAGCCCAGTCTTTTTCCCAGTTTGTTACCTCTGGAGAACGTGCACACATTAAAGCCAAACTGACCCAGGTCAAAAGGTATTGGGAAGAGCTAAAAGATCATGAACAGAGACTGGAAGGAACAATCACTGGGAATGCCTCAGCACAGCAGAAATATGAAGAAAGTCTCAAACAGGTAGACAGTGCAAAATCTCAATGGATTATTTACAGCAATATATCAATTGCTCTTTTTTTCCCCCAAAATTGAATATAAAATGTCATATTATTAATAAGGTGAACCAGAATATATGGGTAGAATATGTGGCTTTAAAAAGTAATTTCAAGGCGTTCATAGGTAAATCTATGCTTTGAACGACTTAAAAGGGAGGTTCAGGAAGACATCAAAATACCGACACTCCAAAAAATCGTGTTATCTCTCAGATAGTTTAAGTGATTCTCCTGGATGTTGCAATGGTAAACCACCTCCAGACTTGTTATAAAGTCTATAATCTCAATCTCAGGTTGTCCATAGATGCATGTAGTATATTATGAGGGAATAAATTGAATATTATTATTGTCCTAGTCTCAAGGAACTGAGTGCAGACAGCATCCTTTAACTTCAGCAGACACTCAGCACTGCAGAAATTAAGATTTAAATTCCTCTTGGCACTAAATACTTGCAACATATAATTTAAAGTATCGTCTGTGTATTTATCATTCTTTTTAGAATCTCTGGTTTGCCTTTACCTCATAGGTGCAGCAAGCAGTGTCCGGGTTTGAAGCTAAGCTGGCTGAGCCTCTTACATCATGTGCCTCATCAGCGGCGACGTACGGGGTCCTTCAGGATTACACGGTGAGAGCCTGGCCAGTGAGCCCTGCCGCTGCAGCTGGCGAGAGTCCAGCAGCACAGAGGAATACCGAACAAGGATGTGAAATATCCTGTTGGCCAGGGAGCTGCCTGGTCCCGGGGGGCAGGATGGGGCAGGCAACCCGAGGGGGAGCCCGCAGCAGGTCAGCCCATAATCAGTGCTGCGCTCTGAGGCATCCCTGGCGCGGGACTGCTGGAGGCTGTACGGGGCCATCGGAGGCGACTGGCAAATACGTTCAGTTTAGCTGAGCTAGGGAAGAGGCAGAAGCTTCCTAAGTGGGTGGAGGCCCCTCACCCCGCTGTGGGAAAAAGGTGAGCGTAAAAGTAAGAGTTAAACTCCAGGTTCTTGATTTGAATTTTATGCATCTATAGCATTATCAGGTAAGGTAAGAAACATGTCTGTTAGACAGTATTTCTCCGGAGTGCTTTAATGAAACTTGGGTCTTGGTATAGAGAAATCTGTGATTTAAAAAGGAAGTGGATCTTCTTGGGAATATTTTTTCTTTGACACTGTGCAGACTGGATGGGGTTTCAACAGACAGTTTTTATCTGTGATGCCAGAAGTCCGTGAGTATTTGAACACTTGACTTGGGTCAGTCCATTTTAAAAGGAAATAAATGCTGGATTGGATGGTTTAGATTACAAAAAAAAGCCCAAATCTCAGGGAATTTGGTCTAGCATTTTTGCCTTTCTCTACAAGTATGTAATATATTCTTTCTACCATAGACGTTATCTTCCTTTCTAAGAAAATGTTAAACAGACTTTTAGTCAAATTAGTCTTGCAGAAAAATACATAGAATTTCTTCCGAACTTAGTGGTAACTACTTACAAAGGCTGTATGCAAGGAAGACATGGCACTTCAGCCTCAAAAAAGCTTGATACTTGCTGAGGAAAAGACTTGGAGAATGGAGAATTTACTCAGACAGCACATTTAATCATTATTATTATGATTTTTAAACATTACTAATACAGTGAGTCCTTAAATACTGTCATGCCTACAGGATCATAATGATTTCATGTCTTAGTTTGAAATTATATTTTATTTTTTAGTTTAAACATCAGCAGTTTGTTAATGTGTAATTCACATTTCCTACTCTATGGTGTTGCTTTCGTGATTACTGTAATTATAACCATTACTATTGTTGTTATTGCACAGTGATTAGTTGGAGCTTTACTGGTTTTAAATCTGTTTATTCCATTCTGTGTTTTTTCTAACTGATTTTACTATTTTTCATTCATTTCCATATGAAAAATTTTCCCAGCCCTCTAGAAATAGGACACAGCACGTCAGTTCCACATCAGATGCCATTTCCATGGAAAAGATATTTGGCTCATGTTGGCAAAAGTTTACTATAACCATTCCCATATCTTTTCCATGTCGGGACGTGGGATGCAGATGTGGCCATCCTCATATATTGGAATGAGGTTTTGTAGCTAGTGTATCTGATAAGCAGCTAACAGCTGTTTGTCAAACAGCTGTTAGACAAACGGTAGGGAATTTGGCGCTTGGTCCTACATGACTGTATGGTGTCACATGCCCATTCAGAAGACCTGACTCTTTCGTTGCTGGCAGGCTTTTCCTTAACACCATTCATAGGGAAGTCTTTCATCGCTACAAGCTGGTGGTGATCAGAAAGCTTGGGGCCTGCATGTCCAGGACAGATGTGAGAGAACTGTGTGCTGTGCAGTGACTCCATAATCCGGAGGGGTGTAGTGTTGCTTCAGGCTTTGGGTGGCAGAGTACAGTTTTGTCCACCATTATTATTGTTGTTGTAGCTCTCATTTATGTATCTGGCTTTTCTTTCTTTTCCGTGTTCATCAGGACCTTTGTCATAATGTGAAAAAACTGAGCAATGCTCTGGCTTCTCTCTCAGCCTGTGCCCGAAAGGTCTCCAACAAAGAAAAAGCTGCTCAGGAGGTGACAGCGTTACAGCAGAAATATGAAAAAGTGCTAGAAAATGCTAAAGAGAAACAGACCTTGTTAGAGACTCTTCTAGCTCAGTGGCAGAAGTGAGTAAACTCTCACCTTTATTATGCCAGATACTGAGACCTTCCTATGGTCAGTCTATGAGGAGGAGGGCACAACCTGAGTTGATAATGCTCCACATCATTGTGATTTTGTTAGGCACGAGAAAGAGCTGTCTGCCTTCCTCACTTGGTTAGAGGAGTGTGAAGCTGCAGCCAGTCCTTCAGAGCAGTATGTTTCAGCTGACAGAGTTAAACTAGAAGGTGAACTGCAGTCACTACAGGTATGTTTGAACTGAAAGATACTCTCCCTACATTTCATGTTCTTTTTTTCTTTTTTTTCCTTATACCTTTTAAAAGAGGGACGTGCTCAATCTCACAAATTGCGTAATTCTAGGCTTTGGGTGTGTCTTAGGGGCATACTATGTTATTATTGCTGTTATTTATAAAAAATATGAAAAATTACATGAAAAATGATATTTGAAAATATCATATGCCTGTTCAGGAGTAGGAATGTTTGCATATATCCTGTTACTTATCAAGGAAAAACTGGTCTGCTTTCAAGAGGGTCTTTCCTCTAGAGAAATTCCTTTTTTCAGACATTGCTACTTCCTTTTTTCCACATGTAAGGAAAGTCAATCAGACAGCAGAATGTTCATCGGTTTTACGTTCACAGTGAAAACACTGATTTCCCAATTGCTTTTTTAAACACAAAAATTCTATTCTATTCTAAAGTATGCCTTCCTAGGCAGTTTTTGCCACTTGCTTTCGGATTAATATGAAGCAGTAGGCCAAATGTATCATCTTTTCCACCCTTCATGAAGCCAGTGAGTCCATAATTTCACTTTGAAATAATATTGAAGAGAAGAAATTTTTTTTTGTTTTGGGGTTTTTTTGGGGTGGCCAAAATTTGTGGCATTTTCTCACAACTCTAATATTGTTGAGGGTAGCTAAAATGGAACAAAATGTGATGCAAAACTTAGTTGTTGATTTTAGCCGCTGTCAACAGACAGTAGAGCTGTGTGGAACGGTTATGCTTTGTCATGAGCAGAATAAAATCTTTTATGAATCCTTACTGAATTACAGCTGCAAATCTAGCTGTCTGAGAGGTAGTCAGCACCTCCATGAGACCTGGACAGACCTTTATTTCTTTAAGGATTTGGCTGTGCTCATTCCTTTGTCTCAAAGTGGTATATTTTATTATTGTTATTTGGCATAACATGATGCAATTTTTCATTTAAAGGCTATATCCATTGTTTTCCCAGGATTTGCGAGCTGATATTGAGTCCCATGCTTCAGTCTATGCAAACCTATTACAATTAAATGAGTCGCTGTTTCCAACAGTTTCCAACCAGTGTGTAAAGGTGATTAAAGAAAAATTTGAAGAGCTGGATGAGAGGTGGAAAGCTTTACCACAAACTGTTGATAAAAGGTTTGTGCTTCAGAATGTTTTTTATGCGTTTAATGATAGCAACCAGTACTCAGGTGAGGAATTCCAATCCTGAAACTTAGTTTTACAGTATGACCATTTGGAAAACAGAGATTTACGGATAGAAAGTTTCTGTTGCAAGGATGAGGGACAGGAAATGGCGACAGTGGAGATGATTGTCTTTACCCAATTACATTTTACTAAATAAATTGATATATCCATTTTCTGGGGTTGCATGGTTTGAACGTCTGATGACGGAGCCATCTGTACTCTAGCTATTGAAAAATCCATGAGGATGGAAAGACAGAAGCAATGAGGAGCAGGTTACTGGAATCAAGTAGTGTTCAACTAAACATTGCAGCAATCTGCAGTGTAATGTCAGGGATCTCATGCGTGTTATACATCTCTGGATTTGTGGTCCTCAGCATCTGGCTTTGTAAAAAACCTCTTTACAGATCCCTTTAAAAATGGGAATCCCTGACGTGTAGGAGAGAGCATGATACAGCAATGTTAACATTACCTTGCAAAAATGCAGTGAACAGAAACTGCCTTCTAAGGGAAGAATTCTGTTCACCCAGTTCCTTTCATCTGCTGTGCTTGTAGTAAAGCGAACCAATGAGTTTGTAACTCTGTCATAAAAACCCAACAAACAAACTTGTCAAGCAAGTAGTGTTTTCATCAACTTTTTTTTTCATTTCAAATTGATTGTAAATGACTAGGTATTACTTCTAAAATCTGTAAGATCTGCTCTTCATTTCTTCAGCTATATGCTTTACCTTGTGCAAAGCCACACTATTGTCCTTTTAAACCATTTTGAAGTTTTCATTTGCCATAACAATTATAAATACCTGATTGTTGGGCTGCTGCCTCATCTTAGGCTCAGTGATAGTGCCTTCTTTTTTGAAACTGTTTATTATCATGAATTTAGAGGTCAGTCTCTTTGGTGATGAACATATATATTTTGCTATTTGTAATGTACCTCAGATAATAGACCCTGGTCCATGACATGGTGTTTTATAAGAACATGTCCATGACAGAGGTGTTTTATAGATACAGTTATATTACAATATAATAATTTTGTACACAGAATTTCATCTTGACAATTATGTAGAGAATTCCATAAGGGAAATCTTGCAACAGGTGACCTTTTTAAGATCAACATTTAAAAGCTTAGTTCTGCTAGGTGCTGAGTACTCCTCTGAATACATTCCCCAGCTGTGTTCCTTTGAACACAGTACAGCTCAGCTTGAACACAGTACAGCTCAACACTTCACCCTCACTTACTTCAGGGGATGTTGAACACTCAGCTACTCCACCCCCATCTGCATTCATGATACTGTCGCCTTAAATGCAGTGTTGTAGATATTGTAAACAGAATTGTTATGTCTGAAAATTGAAGGTTAGCTTCCATCAGTATCATTATCTTTACTGAGACTATCTGTACAAAAGAAAACGGAGGAGTGTACCTCGATAGGTTGGGGCATTTCTATCATTTGATACCAAAAAAAAAAAAAGGTAGAAACATAAAAGAGAGCCAAACTATTGCTTTCAAGCACTGTCGTGTTATTCCCCAGTTTAGAAATTTATGTAGCAATCATCACATCCAAAACAGAAATTCACATTTTAGTTTTCTCGTTCCTTCCACCTGGCATTGATTTTAGTGCTGTCTAGTCAACTATGATTTTGATTAATGTATTTCAAGTGGTTTCATGTTTATATCTGACATCCTATAGGATATATTTCCTTCGATCTCTTGTTGCTGAACATGGGCAATTTGATGAGCTACTGCTCAGTTTTTCGGACTGGATTAAGCAGTTTCTTGCTGAACTACAAGCCACTTCAGAAATAAACACAACTGATCGACAACTCGCTGTATCTGACAATAAGGTAAACGTTTGAACATAAATATGTAAGATAGAAAGATTGTACAGTGCATTCAGCTAAAAATTCCTCTAAGGCGAGCATTAAATCATTTGTGTGTGCTTGAAAAATGATACTCTGCTGTAGCCACATGCAACAGTTCTGTTATGGGACTACATTGAAGCAAACTGTAATGCTGAATATTTTTTATTAGATTCCCCTTAGTAGTACTTGTTGCACCGGTAAGTTTAGTACTAAAATGTTCTCTGAACTTTTGACTGGAAAAAAAACCCACCCCTCCTATTTCCTTTCTTTCCCACAGGACCACTTAAAGGAAGTTGAAAGTAAAAAACAGCAGCTACAAAGTCTGAAGGAACATGTAGAAAAACTGTGTTCTTTCAGCTGCCCAGAGGACCACCAGACTTTGCAGGGAAAGACTGAAGATTGCTTTCAGATCTTCCAAGAGGCAAGTCAAATGACTAGCCAAAGACAAGAGGCTCTGGAACAGCTACGGGTATTTCTGGAGCTCCACAGTGCTGCATCAAGTATGCTCCACCAGCTGAGGCAGACAGTGGAGAAAACAGGAAATATGGATAAAGCTAAATCTGAATTACTGCAAAAGGAGCTGCATGATGTTATTCAAGATCTTAACAAGCTGGAATCTCTTGCCGTCAGTTTGGACAGTTCCCTTACTAAGGCCCAGTATCATCTAAAACATGGCATTTCTGAGCAGAGGACCTCCTGCAGGGCTGTGGTGGATAATCTGTGCTTGGAACTGGAGGCAGTTCAAAACCTACTGGGAACCAAGCAGAGTGAGGCAGAAGCTCTCGGAGCCTTGAGGAGATCTTTTGTGGAACGTAAGGAACAGCTACTGAAGCGTATTGAAGATACTGAGGAAAGGGCTGACAAGGAAGGTCTGAAGGAGGCAACGCTGCAAGCCCTCCAGCAAAGGTTAAAACAAAATTAATGTCTGAGATTGACACTTCTTCATTTGCTTGCATTCCGTAGACTTTTTTTGATGAGTTGGAGGCATGTTTAAGATTCATTCGTGAGCACCTTATTTATTGGCATTTTGCAAGGCACATGAGTCCTTATACATATTTAATAATATTTCATAAGTGAGCTGTCTGGATGGTGGAAGAACATGAGCAGAACACTTAGCATATCCCTCAAATCTTTTACGCTGAAGGAATAGATAGGGCAAACTTCGTCACTGGGAATTATTTTGTCCAAATGAATCCAAGCTCCAGTTATTAGTAATTCCATACAACATAGCTGTCTCTACTCTTATGGAATTGAAGGTTGTACGTGTGCTAGGAGGAGTTGAAAACACACACTATGATAAAGTATTAAACTAAATATTTGAGTTTATTTCCAAGTCACTGTGTCAGGTGAAAGGCTGTGTATATAATCTACGTAATTATATAGCTGTATATGTATCAGAAAGAAATCACATTCTGAGCCTAGCTGTAGCAGAAAAAATCTAGGTAACACTTTGTTTTCAAAAGGTATTCTAGGAAATATTAGAAAAGAGAAACTCTATATCCAGTAACTCTGTGAGTAGCTCTTCCTTTCTTACTTTCCCCTTTTCTCTCGCTCATGAAAGTAAAGCTATGTAAATTTATAACCAGCATTTTAACTTGCAGATTAAGGATCTTTAACCAGTTAGATGAGGAACTGAGTTCTCAGCAGCATGAACTCCAGTGGCTCATGGACAAAGCAAAACAAATAGCCCAAAAAGATGTAACACTTGCTTCTGAGATTGACAAAGAGCTAAATCGCTTAGAATCTCTGCGGGAGGATACCAAGAAAAGTATACGTGAAAAGTAAGTAGATCTCACATTTTAAATGAGAGAGGAGAGCTTCCTTCTTTTAGTGAGGGAAAGAGACCTTGTTATTTGAGCTTAATCACTTCTCATATTTTATGGTTTCCCAAAGAAAACCAGAGTCTACATGTTAAATACTGAGTTAAAGCATCAAAGACACTATACGCCAGGATATTTGTACAGGTTGTAATTACGTTATTAGTAAAGCCAAAGAGAGGTGTCCTCAAGACAGTAGGGCTGGGCTTTTACTAGTGTGCTGTTGTTTACTCGCTTGAAAGATAAGCAATCTCCATTAAGATTACACTGTCACTTTCCTTCTAGCATGCATTTTCCTTTTGCACTGTGTATGTATTTCCAAAAATCCTATGCTCAGTGATCTGAAATCGTTCCTGGATTTAAGTCTTTTTGACGGCCCAAGGGAGCAGGCTCGTAACAGTCGTTGGAGTATAATCGGTGATATGAAATAGTTTTGCGTTTCAGTGACATCCTCGAAATAAGCTTTCTTCTTAATCTTTTCTTGGTCTTAACTGCCTATTCATCATCTTTAAAAGAAAACTTCTTCAAATGTTCTTTTTAAATTTGCATTTTCTTTTGTGGTAAAATAAGTGCCACACCCATTCAGTACTACATCATCCTCACTGCACGTAATTTTTCTCTATGTGCAGAAGCAAAACAGTTCTAAGCCTGGCTAATACTTACATGGACATGTACAATTTGGTCATCCCCATGTAGCTGCTAAGCTGAGGTACTGGAATAATATTTCAAAAAAATATTTATTTGTGCTCAAAAAAAAATTTCCTTCAGTTTATACTGTACTGCTATCATTTTTGTTTTGATTGAGACCATGCAGATATTTGTTAACATGCTGCCACTTTACCACATATGCATTCCCTCTTGTAAATCTCTGCACAGCCATGTGAATTGCGTTTTTGGTGTTTTCACTTGAACTCAGTCTAGTTTTCCAAAGCGTGTTTATGAGATGTCTAAATCTGAAGTGAGTGGAAGAGGATAGTTTTGTTCAAGAATCTCCATCACTCGTTTTTCTTCAGCATTGCTGCTAATTTGGATTTCATGATGCCACAACCCATTTTTCTTACATCAATAAGTCTTTAGTAATAGTAAAACAGGTAACTTTCACATAGATGCCAGGAGATGAAGAATGCCTAGTATTAAAATATCTGCACTATCTTACAGATGTGTTGTAAGAGTAACTGTGTCGTTAGACTCTCAAATACTGGGACAGTAAGTGCCATCTGTATACATAAAACTGGAAGATACTCAGGTACCCCATGATTCCTTTCTAACAGAAACATAATGTTAATGTTTGTTTAAAGTGTTAATTTAGTAACCTGCCTTAACTATTTATTTTAAAATGTTTTCTCTATCGCATACTTGCAGACCTTCCTGCACCTGAATATTTTGGAGAGCATTTTGGAGCGTTAACAAAAGCGCCAGGTTCTAAAGTGATTGCCTCTCTTTCTTAGCAATGCCATGTTTCCCTAATTCCTTTCATTGACAAACACTGTTCTTCAACTAAACATGTCTAGAATATTAGCTCTTTGTTCTCTGTCTTCAGCAGAAAGACTGAGAATTGATCGAATGTGTTTTTTTCTTCTGTACATTGCATGAACAGATACAGGTTTTTGTACAGAAGAAGAAGTAAAAAATAGGCCTGTTCCTGGCAGCAAGTTATTCTGTTTTCACTAGAATGACAGATGAGTTAAATATAAGGTTTTAAACCCAAAAACGTCTGTCTGATAATTGGAAGATGAAATAATCAGAGTGATCGTGCATTGCTTTAATCTTTACTTCTGATCCTTTTTATTCAAAAAAGTTCCTAATTCTCCACATTAAAGAAACAGGTTAAATAAATGACCTGCAAAAGCCAAAATCATTGATTTTTGATTTCCAGTCAGGAAGACACTAACCTCAGGAAGTGAGAAGGTTGAGTTCAAGTTCCAGCATTTCTTTTGTTCAGGATTTTCTATATATGAGATGAGGATTCATACATTTTCCTCAGTGAGGTGCTTTGTGATGTGTAGACCCCAAGTGATTTGTAAAGGCTCAAAATAACATTTCCTTGGCTGGCCAAATCATACTTAGTACTCCATTTTGATTCCTACATACACCCCCGTGCTGAACTGCTATGTCAGGTTCTCTTGCTTCAGCAGCAATGTAATGAGTGGTGCTGTCTGACACAGCCTTCTCCCTTTTCAGAAAGGACCAGTGCTGTGTTCTTATTGATCTGATGAAGGAATATCAGAGTTTGAAGTCAATGGTAATGAAAGTCATAGACAGTGCCGACAGCGCTTCTGCGATCAAATCAATTTGGAAGGACCATGAAGATGTTAGGCGAACTTTATCCAAGGTAATTAGAAGTATTTTCATTTAAGGGATTTAACTGATCTTGACTTCAGTGGATTTTTCTGTTTGAAAAGTGGCCTTGAGCTGTGTTTGAAGTTCCTTGAAGTTACTGTCAAATCCTGTCAAACTGACACTCGGGATTTAAATCCTACTGATTCTGATAAAGAGGAAAGAATATAGTCCTTTCTGCACTTTTGGTGAGATCCATTAATGTGTATTTGATTGGGGCTATTTTAAAGTACATTTTAACGCCTAAAAATGTAAACTGTTAAGCTGCACTTTCCATATAAATCTATTTTTTATGTAAAATACATGAAAAATTGTGTTCCCATCACAGTATGAGAAGATATTTCCAGTCAACATACTTCAGTGTTTTTCTATATTGGATAATTTTTTGAATGGATAAAAGCTAATGAAAGAAAAAGCTGACACTGGAATATTGTTCTCTGTCACAGGAAGAAAAGCCTTGCTATCTTCTTGAACACAAATCTGTTTCTTTTTCTGAAGTT